ATTACACTGCTAAGTTTTATAACTTGATTGATTTTTCGCTGTTGGCCTTCTGAACCTTATCACTCCACCACCAAGTTTCCTTATAAGAGTTTCTTTTTCCTCTAGATTCTTCTAGAACTTCGTTTGCCACTTTCTTGATGCAGTTAGCCATCTCTTTCCATATTATATTGACATCATGTTCATAGTTCCATTTTCTTTCTTCAACTAATTTAGCCCTAAATAAGTTTATTTTTTCATTTTTTAAATTCCACCACCTAGTTCTTGGATAACCATTGCTTTCACCCATTCTCTTCGATGTCTTTATGCAAATGTCCATAAGCACCTGCCTATCTTGGGTACTCAAACTCTCTCCTGGGATAACCTTGCAGTCTTTATATGATGGTCTATCTACCTTCTTTATGAGGAAGAGGTCTATCGGGCTTTTATGTGATCTAGTTTTATAGGTTATTAAATGTTCATCTCACTTTTTAAAGTAATTGTTTGCTATTGCTAGGTCGTAGGCCATAGCAAAAACTAGAATAGTCTCACCCATCTCATTTCTTTTTCCAAACCCATATCCCCTATGTTACCCTTCATATCTTTTACTATGATATGAAACTATAATTTTTTAATACCATAATTCTAGTATATGCTGTCGAAACACATTTATATGCAATCACTATCATCATAGCCTTTTCCTAATTAATTAGGGTTGGGTACACAAATCTTGGTCTTCCATTCTACTATATTATGACCATACCCTCAGTGAGGCTGTAAGTCCCTATATCTTTTCTCATTACTTCCAACCATGTTTTTTTGGGCCTACTCATATATATGCCTATATAGGTATTAAATATATATATTTGCGCATTTATATATATTCTAACTAACTTTTTTTATACAAATACATGCATGTGAATGCTGAACCACATTCAAATCTCTGAAATGTTTTCCTCTTTGGATGACTAAAATAGTGAAAAAAAAAAAAAACTAGTACATAGTATATCAGTGATTTAGTGTCCACACACCACACTCTATAGCCCATACTTTCATACAACCATACTCCAGGTCTCCAATGGGATTAACTGACCAATACAAAACGATGTTAAACAAAAGATGCTACACAAATGGAAAGAACGAGGAGATCTTTAATTGTTCAATGTTTTTTAACGTTTTATCCTCATTGTTTCGGTTGTCTAACAAGCTCAAAATCACCTTAAAGTCTTCTAAGAACCTCATTTGGACCCTAAAAGTGACAAGATATGGTAAGATTTTAAATGACTATGAATTTCTCAAAATTTTCGCTTTGAAAAAATCGCAAAATCCATCAATTATGGGTGTTTCTAGAGCATAGGAAGAGTTTGTTTTTTTACTTTGGACGGTTAAAATATTCCCTTTTAATGGGTCAAAATGACCTAAAAAACGTTTCCGGCATTTTTTTTGTAAGTTCTTGATAGTGGACGATGTGAACTAGCACAATATATATAGTTTGAAATTTTTCTTTTGCAATACAGGCTAGAATACTAACATATGTCCAAGAATTACAATTACAACTCAAATAAATAAGCAAAAACAAGATTTGGATTCTCACTTGCTGCCACTTTTTAAAAGTTATTCATTATATAAGAAAAATTACCAGCTAGAACACTCACTTATGTCCAAGAATTACAATTAGAGCTCAAATAAATAAGAAAAAGCAAGATTTGGATTCTCACTTGCTGCCACTCTTCAAAACTTCTTCATTATATAAGAAAAATTACATCAGTAAAGATTGGGAACAAGAAAAGCACAAGAAAGTAGAAAACGAGGTAGTGTGACAAAAGATTACCTTTAATGGACTTTATATACCCCACACCGATCTCCTCCACCAATGGCGTACGAGATCTTGATCTTTCTTAAATCTCAACAAATAGGAAGCTTGGCTAAACCCTCTAGTCGAAATATGAGAGCATGTGTTCTTAGGTTGGGCTTCTTCTATTTCTCTAAGTATGTGGGGCGTACCCCCTTTTCTTACTAACTACCTAGGGGCTTGCTCCCTTTCTTTTTCTTCTTAGTCTTAGAGGGTAGAGGGTGGCATGTCACATATGAAGAAGAGAGAGAGCTCTAAGTTAGGTTGTAGATATTTGACCCCGCAATGAGATGTATATATAATAGTGAGGCTAGGGTTTAGCCATCCTTATGGAGATTTGATCTAGGCCGTTGATCATAGGTGACCTGTGGGGTGAGAGATCTGAGCTATATAATCCTTAGATCAACCCATCATAATCTAATAAAAGGTGCTAGAACCTTACCCCTCAGCTTCCTTAACCTAATCCCCATCAAAATCTTTTTTATGGAAAATGTCATATAATTTAAATTAGTGTCATATGATTATCAATCAAGAGTCATATTTTCCTCTTGTGAACACAATCAATTAAATCTCTACACACCTTCAAGATGGCTTCCTCAACAAGCCATCTTACATCATAAGAGAAATTGGAAAGAGTGGGGTGTCCCACTAATGGATGTCACAAGTGGGCCCCATGCCCCACTTAAGTGTGCCTAATGTAGTGGTCCCCATTAAATCTTGGGCTCCCACAATCTTAATTAAATTTTAAAATTAATAAATTATTTTTTAGAAAATCATAAATATTTTATTTTTCTATGAATAGTTATATACCTAAAAATTCAATTGTGGCTACTTTAAAAAAAAATGATAAAATAAAAATATCCAAAGCCTTTTAAAATTTTTATGTTAATAGTCTAAAAATCATTTAACACAATTAATTATTTTAAAATTATTTTGATGGGAATTGGACCCAACTTCGTTAAGGAAAAAAAATGAATATACTGAGGCACTCCATCTCTACTAGCGACTATGTCACACACTCACGTTCTCATACTGACTCAATAGTTCCCATGACCCACAGTCCATCACTGAGATTCATGATTGGATTACCAGAGCTAACCAATAGGTGATGCGAACACAATCCTAGTCTGTGGGCTACAGGTTCCCCTATTGGGACAAGTCTAGGTCACACAGACCTATGGACACTTATCGCAATTGGTGCATGGGGGCTATCTCTTGCACATGCACATGCTATATCCTCAATGATGTCTACATCCCAATGTGGCTATTATATGTAGATTCCATACAATGGTCATGATGAGGATTTGCCCATTGTTCGTTTAGGCCTACCAAGCGCACACAAGGGTCACTAAGTCCCTTGGCCAACTACCCTGGGCATCTCTCCGACGTCATCAAAGACTAATCCTACAAACCAATGTTTAAAAAATAGGTGACCCTATCTGGAATCGGGTGATCCGGATTGGGTATCAGTTGGACCATTCGGATCCAGCCAATTGATTTGCTACAATAAACCGTACATTTGTTTGAATTTTTTTTGCAAGGGTACTTGGTGAATTTTTTTTCAAAATTAAGGGCACATTGCCCACCTCTCTTTAATTTTTTATTGCGTGCCGCCACACTGTCATGTCCCACTCACTCAATCACATACAACTATGTGGGCCACAATAATTTTATAATAGTGAATTCTGCTGCAAAGTTTCGATGTGGGATAATTCAACGCACACCCTTTGTAGTGCACACCTACTTCCTTTTGTAGAGTACATGGGCATCAAACAATTTCAAAGAGTGCGTTAAAAATTGGGGTGCGTGCGAACATCATTAAAGCAATAATAATTTGTAAATTTAATGGCTTATAAATAGCTCTCTCTCTCTCTCTCATATATACAATAATGTACAAATTAAATGCTTTATTAATAGATCTCTCTCTTATACAATGACATCTATAAAATGAAATGGTCTATAATTCTTTTTGAGATTCAATACAATTATTTTTTTCTAATAAACAAAAATAAAGTACATATAATTAAGTTTTAATTACATATAATTACGAAAACAAAATTACATATAATAATATACACAAATTAACATAATTATATGAAATTGTTGTTTATTTATGTTAATAACTTAATATAATTATGTTAAACTTATATCAGTATAATTATTTTTCTATACATTAAAATTATTTTTAAATTATATGGAAGTGTTTTCTAATATTTTTAAATTATTTGATGTACTATTGATGATACCGGGCAAATCTTCAATGGTGTTTTTTGCCCCCACTGCCAATGAGTGGGTTTGATTGCCTGATCATTAATTAAAATTCATTACGTTTCCAAATTCTCAGCACATCTGACAAGAATTGTGTACCCACAGTCTAAATTTTGTGAGTGTAAATTCTGGACATTTATGCCGATTGTCAATACACTGTTTCTTGATGCTGAACAAGCGTAGTGACAGTTCCCCAGAGTTGTTCACATGCAGTCTGTTGTTAATATGCATGTCAGACATTTTGTTGTTGGACCAACTGAAATGTGGCTGATGGATATTTTTATTCCAAAGCTTGGAGGTTGCTAGGAATGTCCTATGAAATTAGACTCACTGTACATTATTTTCTCATTGGAACTGTGCTGTTACACCAAAGGGAGCTACTAATAGGGTAGGCGGTTTGGCGTATGAGATTGTAAGTTGTAACTAAATGCTGCCATGATCCTCTTTTTATGTATTTGTAACTCCTTTCTTTTAAACTTATTACTGATAAAATGATATTTATTTCTTCTCAAACACTGTTTTTGAGAATGTTGCACAGTTAGAGAGATGTATGTTGTATGGCTTTTCCCTTGGCGCTTTCAATCCCTAGCCTCTTGAATACTGGTGTTACCATGTTCTCTCTCCTGTCTCATCATCAAGGAGACTTTCTTTGCAAGGTTCCTGTCATTGAGCATTGGCATTGTATGTAGAGCCTCTTTATGCTACCAATTGCACTTGTAATGGCTGTTTCTCTTGATTGCCTTCAATGGTTTTCAAATATTTTGGAATTCTAACTACTATGTGAGTAGAATATTCTATTGCACAAATTTCTTGATTCATATTGTAACGTTCTAGGCATTCCTATTTGTCTTTCTATTTGTGGTTCTGTTGGTGTAAAGCTTGAATAACTTATGAGTTTGTGCAGGAGCCATGGTGCTAGCTGACCGCGGCTTGTGTTGTATTGATGAGTTTGATAAATTGTCTGCGGAACATCAGGTATGTTGTATGCGAACAGATAGACTGTTCATATCTGTTCATTTTGCTCTTACTTATTCTTTCTTCCAATTAAGGCATTCTACATTTATACCAGATTGGGGTTTCCTCAGGCTCTTTTGGAGGCCATGGAACAACAATGTGTCTCTGTTGCAAAAGCTGGAATGGTAGCCAGTTTATCTGCACGAACATCTGTGTTAGCTGCAGCAAATCCTGTTGGGGGTCACTATGAGTAAAATTTCTTTCACTATTTTTGGTTTTGAAATATGGTGTTTACAGGCATCATGTTTGCCACATTAGGAGCATATTCATCCAGATTGTGACATTTAAAAGTTACTCTTCAGGATTTCCTTCTCATGATATGTGATGGCCAAAGTACATCCTTCCAATATTGAAAGAATACCAAATCCAATCTTTTTGGCACTCTGCTGACTCATAAACTATCCATTCCTGAAGCGCTGTGAATCTAGTAACTGATTCGAGTTCTTCCAGTTATGGGATGATAAACTTTGTGACTTTTTTAAAACTCAATTTTAATTTTAATTATATATGTACTTTTTCATGTACTTAAATATGATTTAGAAGTTTTTCTTTTCATGAACTTTTAATTGATTATTTTTCTATTCATAATTATGAGGATGAGCCCCAAGTCTTGATATTTGGAGCCATGTTTGACACGTGCAAATGTGTTTAAGACACTTTTATTGGTATTAGGGGAACATAGCAGTTAAGACCTTGGGCCACTGTCTCACATCAAACAAAATGAGCAAAAAGAAAAGGAGGTTGCCAGAGTCTACTTCGTTTACAAACCTCCCTCTTTGGTTTTCATTTAGGGAATCTGAGCAAAATAATGGGTGGTTTCTCCTGTCTAGCATGATCAGTTGATATTGATTGTTGATGATCACAAGGACTTCCATTTTATTTTTTGGTTCTAAATTTGGTTTCTTTCTCCTAACTTCATTGCTGCTGTTGAATGCAGCCGAGCAAAGACTGTGAATGAAAATCTGAAAATGAGTGCTACTCTCCTCTCGCGATTTGATTTGGTCTTTATATTACTTGACAAACCGGATGAACTTTTGGATAAGCGGGTTTCTGAACATATCATGGCAGTAAGTTTAAGGAGTGTCTTTGGATGAGCACTTGCATGCATCTGATATGTTTGTTTTAGCACATTCTTGACATGCCTAGGACCTAGAAAATAGTCATTGTTGTTTTTCTCAAGATTACTGATTTCCTGTTTGCTAAATCCTAATATAGTTTGCTGTCAAGGTTTAAAGCCCATGAGAGCTAGTGAATGGTGAACTTCAATGGGAGTGTTTTGATTGATTGACTGACCTAGGGTTGGGCAGTCATGAAAGGTGGACAAAGTGACCTAGCCAAGTATATACAATTAAAAATTTTCGTTACTTTCTTTTATTCATACCTGCTAGAACAATTATAGATGTAAAAAAATATAGCTTTAGTTCATAAAAATAAACCCTAATACAATCTAGGATTCTCACTTGCATGCCAGAAACTTCTTTATTCAACAAAATCATGGTACAATACATAAGAGCGAATGATGAAACATGGAACCATAAAATTCCAGACCACCTCCCCCCCCCCCCCCCCCACCCCCACCCACCCACCCACAGAGGACTTGTTGCACCCCCCTTAGGATCTCTATCATCGATGGGGCAGGATCAACGTCTTTTCACTTTGTTTCATACAACTAGGAAGCTTGGGCAAGCCCTAATCTAAAACTTGAGAGCATAACCAAAGTTTTCTATGGAGTAGGACACCCTTTACCTAGGTCAACTACCCTTGGGTATGCCACCCTTAGATCTTTTACTTGGGTGCGACGCCCTTAAGCTAGGCTAGAGAGGATGGAAGAGAACAAAAAAAGGGAGATGAGAGAGTGTGGCGTGCCACTTTAGTTTGTGTGTGTGTGTGAGAGAGAGAGAGGGAGAGAGGGAGAGATACATGTGTAGAGGCCACCCCCAAAGGCGGTATTTATAGATACAATCTAGGGTTTTTGGGGGTCTAGAGTTTGTAAACTTATTGAGACTTAAACTTGACCATTGATCGAAGTAGACATGTGGGGTGAAAAGATATCAGCCACCCGTCCCCTAAATCAGCCATCATGATTAAAGGGGAGGTTCTAGAACCATTATCCCTAAGTTTCCTTGATTTATTCCCATAAAAAATTCTCAAGTAGAACAACTTACAAAATTTGAGATCAATCAGACTGTCCTCTCTCTTAATCGTTCGTATAACCAAAATCTTTCCAAAATATGGTCTTCTTTCTAGAAGACTTGTCCAACAAGCCAAAGAGAGAGAGAGAGAAAACAGGAGGGGGAGCGTGGGAGCTATGTGGGACCCATGTGGGCTCCATGCCCCACCAAGGTGGGCCTCCCATGTGGTGGGCCTTACTCCAAAAGGGCCCCCATACACCCCTAACAATTTTAAAACAAATAAACTAATTTTTCAAATTCATTTAATATTTTTAAAATTGCTCTGTATTTATAAAACTTTGAAAATTCTATTTTAGCTATCTAAATTTTTTTCTTGAGATAATAAAATATACTGAGAATTTAAAAAATTCATTTTAATGTTTCATAAATCCAAATAAAAAATATTTATATATAATTCAATGGGGTTTTGGATCCATTAAGTCAAGAATCATGTGAGTTCGTTGAGGCACTCTGTCTATAGTAGCAACTGTGAAGTACAATCATCCTCTCAAACTGACCGAACAGAACTCATAAGGCGCAACCCATCGATTCAAGATTAGTCCATCAAAGGTAGCAAATAAATGAAGAAAACACGGTTGTAGTCCATAGATTACAAGTTCCCTCTTGGGGATAACTCCAGATCCCATAGGACCTTCGCACACTATGGCAATGGTGCATTGGGGTCATCTCTTCTGCACATGAACACGGAATGCCCCAACAAGTTGAATCCCAAAACGTCAAAGTGTACATGTCGTCCAATGGAAATGATGAGGATTTTGACCCTTGTCCTCTCAGACTAGCTAAACCGCATACATGGGTCACACAGTCCCCTGACCAACCGCCCTAGGCATCTTTCTGACCTCATAAAAGGATGACCCTACAAACTCTCCTCTGTTGTGCCATGTGACTAGGGCTAAAGGGTTTTAAACATCAATCTGGGCCTAGCTTGTCAAAGCCCAGGTGAGCACGACATCAAAATGCCTCCTTTGGTCCCAATGGACCGTACTCCTAATGGAGTTTATCATATCATTATATCACAATTTTTGCATGCTCTCATAAGGTCTTTAAATGACCACAAAACCCCAACATCTCCCACTTGGCCTTTGAAGGCTTTACAATCTCTCTCTCTAAATCTCTTACTCCCCATTACAATCTCTCTCTCAAGCCCATTTCATTTTTTCTCTCTTGTCCATTACAACTTACACTTTTGGCGAACTCTTTGCCACCACTCCTTTCATCAAGAAAAAAAGAAAGAGCATAAAAAAGGAAAAAAATACTTTCATTCATGTGGATCTTTAAGGGCTTTAAAAGATTAAAACTGAAAATGGCAAAAAATGTACAAACAATTTTTTTTTTTTTGTGTGTCTTTGGTGTTTATGTGCTTTTACAAAATAAAATTTGTAGAAGCCTTTTAAAAGTGAAAATGCAAAACAAAAAACACAAAAGAGGAAGAGAAATGTAAAGACTCAAAATGCAAGTACATTAAAAAGCATAAAAACAAGAAATATTTCCGAGTGTTTTTTCTTTTTTAACTCCAAAAGAAATAAAGATAAGAAAACTCACATGGACTTGGGGTTTATTTGGTTGAGCTAGAGAGAGAGTAAATAGCCATACCTTTCTCTCTTTCTCTCTCTCTACATAAAGTGTTTTTTGTACCTAAAAGCCCACCCTAACATCCATTTTATTAAAACACCCTTGTAAAAACTAAAAAGTACAAAAAAGAAGAACCCCTTAAAGCCTTTTTGTTATTTTAAAATATCAATAAATGAAGCTCAAAATCAACCTTTTTTATCGTTATTGGGTCCAACCGGTTTGCTTTTGGACTAATGAACTAGTCAGCCTTGCATAGTCTCAGGCTAGTCCACTAGTCCAGTTTGATGGTCTAGCTTGCCCCAAGGGCTAGGGCACTGGTTCATCTGTTTCTGGCTCCAACATGCCATTCTAGTCCAGTTTAGAGAACATAACCTCCCTCAAACTCTAGATGGGTGACCATCTGTAGTTTTCTCAAGAGAAATTTGGATTGCATATGGTGTGCAACTTGGTGAATAAGTATATAAGTTGGTGCTATGATGGAAATTTATGGCAACATGAAAATGCTAGAGTCAAGATGATGCCTACTAAGTAGAAGTTGAGCTCAATATGCTTGGCACTATCATGATAGAGCGGATTGTTGATAATATGAATGCTTTCTTGTTATTGTTGTAATGGGGTGGTAGAAATGAGATGAGCACCCAATTCGAAAAGTATCCAACAAGGCCAAATAACCTCTGCAATAGTATCGGTTATGGCATGGTACCCTGCCTTGGCCCTATAGTACGGAAGGGGAACCTATTTTTGCATCTCAAAAATATGAGAGAATCACCTAAAAAGATGTAGAAGCCAGTAGTAAAACGATGATCATTCACATCACCGACCTGGTCAGCATCAATGTAAGTGCAAAGCTGAAGCTGAGATGAGGATGTGGAGACTAATGCATGTGATAAAGTATCTCGATTATATGAGACGATGTGGAAATGAGAGGCGTAGTAAATTTTATGTGGGGAGCCAACACATTGGGTCAAAACATGCACTACATATGAAATGTCTAGGAAGGCTATTATTAGATACACAAGACGGCCTAGTCAGCATCAGAAATTGGATCGCTCTTGAGATAAGGCCGTGTCACTTAAGTCGAATGGATGGGGCATTGGCACATGCAGTGGAATCAAAAAGGGTCGAAGCAATGTTCAAGACCATCAATAGGGGTTGACCTTGAGTGTAACCTTGAGTGATCAGAGGTTGCTATACAAGAAGAGACTGTGGAGAAGGGAAGAGGAAGCTGAAGAGGTCTCATGAGATATTGAATTGGCAAAAGGATCAATGGGGAAAAAGAAGTCAAGAGAAGCAGTCTTGGAAGAACTAGATACTGTAGGAAAAGTATAATATGGAAGATTCTCTGAAGGAGACATGCTTGGAAATCCGGAGCCTACAAGCTTGGGGTCATAGCAATGGTACCACTTGTGCTCCATGCTATACCAAGAAAGACACACAGCCTATTGAGAAGACTAGTAAAGTCGACTTGGACTTGCCCAAGTAACTTGGGCTCAGCTGAGTAAATGGGGCTTGATAGGTTTCCTTGCTTGATCACAGCCAAAAAAAAGAAAAAGAACCAAAAACAAAACTTGGGATTGCCTAAATAAAACAAAGTCGGTACATATATTTTTGGGGTCGAGATTTAAAAAACAAGCGACTTATATTTTCACACTAAATGGCGTAAATCAATTATAAATAATTTATATTTAACTTTGGTTATACTTTTTTGGCATAGTTGTTTGGATTAGGAGCGAATCGGGAGTAGGAGTGGGCGATCGTGAAAGGCTAGAAAATCCTATGGTTTGGGCGTTTGTCTTTATATTGCATATGTTAGGGATTGAGATCCCTAGATGTTAGGGATCTTGATGCTGATCCTTTGGGATCTTGATCCCAACCTTTAGGCATCTTGCTCCTAACCATAAAGTATATATAGTCTAGGACTTTACATACTCTTTAAAATAGGGACCTCTTAGTTTATAGCCAACAAGCAATGCAACTAAAAGTATAATTGCAGGCAAGCCATCTTGGAAATCATTGTTTTGGATGTTACTTGGACTTTAAGGTGGAGATTGAGATCCTTAATAGTGGGGATTGAGTTCCCTGACAAGGGCGATCGAGATCCTGAAATTTAAAAACTTTGAAGATCCCTCTCCTGAAATGCGGGAACGAGATTCCAGAGCTGGATCGTCATCCAGATTGGGAGATCCTAGCAACTATGTTTTTAGGACCTTATATTTTTTAATGATTCTTTTCTATCTTTTGTATATTTTGTCTTTTTTTGAGAAAATATGCTTATTTTTATAGTTTTTAAAAACATTTTCTCATCTCTTAATACATTTTCTATTGTTTATCCTTTTGATTTTCCTATTTTAACGGATTTTGAGTAAAATTTTCCCCTTCTTTTTAAACTTTTTTAGCCATTTTTGAGCTCGGCACGGACTTAGGCTAGTTGACTCGTATTTGGCCGAGTTTCTAGGCCAGGTGGGTGGCTGAGTTCCGTGGGCGAGCCAAGCTAAAAAAAAAACAGGGAAAAAAAGAAAAAAGAGAACTTGATTCGAAGTAAACAAGAGAACAACTTGGTCCATTGAATCTTTGCCCTTACATGACAATCTAGTTCATGTTTTCATTTGAGAAGATTATTTACTACCTAAAGTATCGTCCTTTAAGGTATCCAAATTCGTTGTACATATGTTATGAAAAGAAAGGATATCTATGATTTATAATGTTAAATTTTTAACTAACTAACAATATATAATACTTTGAATTTGTGTTAAAGTTTCTAGTTATGCTGGTCATATATCTAACATCTACACTCCTAGTGGTTGCATGAATACATCTGCAAGATATATTTATTGCTTAAGATCTATATTTACATGGCCTAATTTGTTTTTTTGTGCAGCTTCATGCAGGGTATGCAGAATGTTTTCAGGCTCCGAAGAAACTTCGTAATGGTATTTATTAATCACATTACCTCATTCTATTTGTGTTCTTATTCTATTGCTAGACAAATATTTGCTAACCATCATAGCATTTTTTATTTATTTATTTATTTTTTTAAAACCATTTGTCAGAAATTCAAAATAATGGGGTCATAGAAATGGGTGTCAGAAGTGGATCCTTGGTTTCAAGGTTGAGACTTGATCCTGTGAACGACAAAGATTTTGTTCCTTTACCTAGTCCGCTTCTACGCAAGTATATTGCTTATGCAAGAAGTTTTGTCTTCCCAAGGTGAAGTCTTATATGCTGCTTATGCAAATATATCACTTACAGAGATTTAAAAGGTTCTTACTCTGTGAAGTCTTATATAGCTGGGCTTTGTCACTATTCTATTAATGTTCTTCTCTTTGTTATATTAGGATGTCAAAGGTTGCAGCAGAAATTCTACAGAAGTTCTACTTACAGTTAAGGAACCACAACAGTGTTGCAGATGGAACACCCATTACTGCCAGGCAGCTTGAAAGTCTTGTTAGGCTTGCAGAAGCCCGTGCACGGTTGGATCTTCGTGAAGAAATAACGGGGCAAGATGCTTTGGTAGGTATTGCATTAGTTAAAATTATTTAAATGAAAGGGGCTGATTTTGAAGGCCTCTCTCTAGTCAATTTTAGCAGAAAAACTCTACATGTACTTCTAAAAAAGGTTGATAAACCAATTCATCACAAGTTTATTCTAACTCTACTGATGTCTTTGTCTTACTTCATTGAACAGAAATATAAAATAATGAAAATTTTGGTGTTATACTAATGAATTACATTAAGTACACTTACCAAAAAATAGATAGACGAGAACCTGCTCTGACTGCTTCAGTTAATATAGAATTCTCAGGACTGCACAGCTGGATATGTATTGTTCTTGGATTTCTCTGATCTATATCAGAATTGAGAACAAAATACACAACCCTGATTCATGCATCGATCATTGATCCTGATTTCTTGTGTCTATATGGTGGAAATCATCTGGATTATCTCCTACCATGCCACTCATAGCCACTAGACTTCCTCAATGAATGATGGAAGGAGACCTAAAGAGTACATGTAATAAACAAATAACTTCAAAAATCCTGCTAGGCATCATGGTTAAGCTGAAAATCTACTTGCTCTCCTCACTGGAATAAAATTGTGATAATTTTCATAGAAAAAAATGACTTTGAGTTCCTAGAACCCTAAACCTAATTTTCCATAGAATGGATGGGCCCCAAGAGTTAATCCTGGAGGAGGACTTGATTTATAACATTTTTTTTGAATCATTGTTTAAAGATAAGATCTTTAGAGATGAATAGAAACGATTTGAGAGTTCTGGGGTCAAATAGATTCTCTTAATGTGGACTTTTGAGGAAGTGTATGAGTGCTCCAGTGGGACCTCCAAATCTTATTGCACACACCCGCACATAGGGAAAATATGGTATGATCTATATGGTCATGATAGCTTCATTGCCACGTGGATTAAATTCATCCAATCGATTGGGTGGATGCTGATGCCAGGAGAGGGGGACATAATTAATCATAGTTTCGGTGGTACCCACTCCCTCTGTCACGGTTCATCACTCCATCTCATTGATTGCACAGTGAAATGCCCTTGGTCCTGAAGTTGACTAGATGAATCATATTATATGGCCCCAGACACACATGCATGCAAACATGCAGACACACACACATATATGGGTGAAGTTTTGGTGAGACCAATGTATTAAAAGTGTTGTTTGTCCGCTGTGGGTGTTTATCTAATTTTGTGTACATTTCGCATTTCATGTACTAATAAAATGTATTAGGGGTATAAGTGGAACTTCACTTAAGACCTGGAATGGGTAATCCCCATATAATGAAACACTGAGATTGTCTATCCCTGCTAGTACATCTTCCTCATCTCTTTTCTTTTATTCTTTCCATAGTTGTTGGAAGTGCGAGAGGTTCAGAAGTGTTTTAGGTATTGGAAGTGCAAAATTGTGACCAGCTAGAATATTACTAGAGTTGGAAGCGCCATCCTATGTTCTGGGGACTGCGCTCCAACCAAATTGGAATTTGAGATTTCGACCTTTTTGGAATCACATACTCAGCCAATTGGAACTGCAAAGGAAATCATCAAGAACCAGTTTCATAGGGCAAAAGGTTTGAGGTTCTAGAGTATCCTTACCAAGAATCCCTTAGTATTGGAATTGATGTATTGCGTATGCTTAACCAAGGTTCGTTTAGTATTGAAATCAAGGTTCTCCACACTCCTAAAGACCTGATCAAGGGTTCCCCGATTATTGAAACATGTGTTGAGCGGCCTTAATCATGGTTCCCCACATATATTGAAGGTTGAGTGCCCTTAAAACTAAATTTCCAGGTTATTGAGTTTCTGGATTGAAATAAAGAAAGTAAAAATACATGATTTATTAATAATAAATTCAAAAACAAACTATTTATTTTAGGTTCTCGGAATTTAGGAATGATGTTAAGTAGAGTTTGTAGATACCCATAGAGTTTTTAGACACCAATGATATATTAATTAATTAATACAAATTAAATAATATAATGTTTACTAGTCCACTAGGGAATTCATGTGTGTTTACAAGACATACAAATATTATCTTATATACACACATGAAAATGAGATTTTTTTTTTTTGATGTATACTTGATGAGATTTTGTTGAATCTGGATGCCAAATAGCTCAAATCAATATTCTAAAACATTGGAAGCAAGATTTCATGTTTATTAAATCATGGTCTTGTGCACATATGAACCATGGGTATGTGATGTTATGGAATCTGGATTAATCGGATCAAGATTCTAGAATGGTGGAAGTGAGATTCCTAAATTTAAGGATTTGGAGTTCCATGATTGTTAATCGAGTTGTCAAATCCAGATTCCAAAGCGGAATTATTACCTGAGAGGAAGATTTTGGTAACTCTAGCTCCTCTTCAAAATGTTATGTTGTTTCTTGTTTACTCGTTTCTTACATTTTATCAGACAAGGCTTAATGATCTTCTCAGTGTTGGAATTATGTCCTTTCGAGGTCTTAAAGGGCTGAGAGATGAGCTTTAAGTCAAGCTGAGCTTGCAGACATTGACAAGATTGTTTTAGATGAAGAAAAGGTAGCATACGTACTTGAAGGGCTAAGAGATGAATATCATGTGTTCATGAAATCAGCGTACTCCTTTTCACTGAATACTTTCTGTAACAACATGAAGCAATGTTTAAAAAAGAATTGAAATGCCACCCTTTCTTATTGTGCACCAAGTATGCATAAACACCACACTCATACACAATGCAAGACAAATGGGTCAAGGGCCGTAGCCTACTTTGCTCAAGCTGTACAATAACATAGTGTCCTGCCACAGATACCCACCGAGGGTTTGGGCCGAGGGTGTATATACCAGAGTTACAATGAACTCAATTCAAATGGATTACACATTCTCCATGGCTTAGACTAGGGCACCTGGCATTTAGCCATGCAACCCATGCCCTGGGAAGCTACAAAGCTCCATCACTCAGTCAATTACAACGGCCCGCAGGTTCAGCCAACACCCTTGAATCACACCCTGAGGTGAGGCCGACTAGCACGTCAGCTAGTGTAATTGTCTCCATCTTTCTAACGACCCGCCTCTTAGCTGTTTTTCCCACATCATGGGTCCAGTATGCATGCATGGTTTTGATTTGAATTCAAATTTTATGCCCACCCAGTCCAGGTCATTGATCTGCCCACTGTCCACTGGTGCGACCACAAGCTCATAAGGGTCTAGCTCACACGCACCATGCTGCTCAAGAGCCTTGTCCGTTGCAGCCACCTGGCTGACCACTGTGAGTTGATGCTAGGTGTCACCAAGTAGCACAATTCACACTGCATATGCAAGATGCTAGTTGATTGGTCGGTGACTGGGTCAAGGGGGGTTCCCTGACCGCCCCTTTAACCAACTTGCAGGCACCAATTTGAGGCCTTGACAAGCCTCCCCCACCAACAGTTCCCGATGTCCTCGTCGGGGCTCTAGCCAAAAACTCTTGGACTAGTTCCTCATACTCCTAGAGGGTCACATCCTTCTCCCAACTAGCTTCTTCCTAGGGCAAGTCCTTCCACTTGACCAAAAATTCCACCCTTCAGTTCTTTTTCCTCTGGATCAATACCCGTTGAGCCAATATTGCCTCGGTCGTATGCTCAAACTGGGTTCTCACATGGGTGGTGCTTGTACAACTTGAACCCTACTTGGGTCTTCATCTCGATGGTAAGGCTTCAAAAAGCTCACATGGAATAACGAATGTGGCAATCTTCAAAAAGTCGACCACCCAGCTGCTTGGGGAGGCCTCACCGCACGACACTGGGACAATGCAGCCCAATGCGGGACAATATTCCTGGGTGGCTGACTAGTCGCCCAGGGCCCTTTTGTCGAGCCCGAAATGTTTCACTTAGGTGTAAATGTGGAACTGCACGACTCAAAAGTGTGTAATCCTTATACAATGAGAAATACAGATTGTGCCCCGTTTGGAACATCTTCCTTAGAACTCCTCTTCCCCTTCTATTCCTTCTTCAATGGTGGCTTTCTCTTTCTTACACTTGCTTGCACATAGTGGCACCTCAGAAATTGCTTGAGAACGAATTCTGACACTGGAAACTCTGCATACCCATCATCTTCACCTCCACAGATCTAGTGCACGAACAAAAAGGAATATTCTTTTGTGTCCAAAAAATGGTTCATTTCGAACCACTGTTTTTGGACCATCCATTTCAAGGGTTTTCATAGAACCACTAAATTTGCTCCATTTTCGGGAGCTCCAATTTCCACAGGAATGGGAATGAATTTGCAACAGATAAGTAGGTATTTCGGGTCCTCAGACCTTCTCTAAGATGGTTTTTTGTGGTGCCACCTCATACGACCACAGCCTCGAGAAATGCTTTACTTATATATATTGCTTGGAAAAAGTTGCTTTTGCAGACAAAGTACACACACATGTGACATGGTTGACTGATGCATGAAATTCATCTATATCTTTGTGTCCCTTTACAGTCTTTCCTATTGAATAAGGAGAAAAGAGAAATCTCAGGCATTGCAATTTGATGCATGAACCAGATTCATGTCCCTAGCCACTAAATTGTGCCAAAGGACGTATACAATGTTTGGGGTATGTAGCCATTTTAAAGGCCTTATGAGAGCTTGTACTGAAATTATATAGTGAAATATTGGCTCCGGTGGGAGTGTGGTCTACTTTGGACTATAAGGCATTGCTATTGTCGAGACGAGAGTCACCTGAGTTTTGACTGGTTATGACTCAAGGTGATGTCCACAACCCGTAGTATTAGGCATTGTGTAAGCACAACCTATAAGAGTTTTGATGTGGGGCTATCCCTTGATGAGGTTAGCGTTGTGCCAGGATTGTTACGTCAGGGGACTATATGTGAACCCTGTGTGTGATAGTTGGCCAGAGAGGACAAGGGCCTAAATCCTCATCATTACTATCACATGATATGTATACTAAATAGCCGTCCGGGAAGCGACCCTTTAGATAAAGGTGCACGACGTTACATTTGTGGAAGAGATGAATCCGTACAACTGTAGATTGTGTTGGAAAGACCCATGAGGCAAAGTGTTGAAATGGGGCCAAGACTTATCCTCAGGGAGGGACCTGTAATCCATAGACTAGGATCATGTCTTCTTCATTTATTGGCTGAATTTGATAGTCCAATCATGAACCCCTGTGAAGGACAGTGAGTCATTAACTATTGAGCCAGTTTGAGAAGGTGCAGTGAGATTCAGTCATTAGAAAGGATGGTGTCCTCAGTATATTTGTTGTAATCCTAACTTTATGGATCCAATTCCCATCAAATCTTCTTATATATGTTTAAATATGTTTTAATTATATTTCAGATAATTAAAATAAATTTTTGACCTTTTGGGTATTTTATTCTATTGAAAAAAATTTAAATTAGGAAGAATCAAATTTCTGATTTTATTTTAATCAGAGAGAAAAATAAAATATTTGATGACAAAATTAATTTTAATATTTATAAAATATATTTAATGTATTGGGGGCCTATTGGGATTTATTGAGCCCACCAATTAGTGGGGCATGGGGTCCACACGACTACCCTTAGAGTGGTGCACCCACCTCCTTAATTATGCTCTTTCCTATTTTGTGCCTTGCGTCATAAGGCATGCAAATGATTGGAATATTTTAGGAAAGAGTTGGTGTAGAGATTTTGATTGATTTCAAAAGAGAAAGTGTAAGAGATTTATTAAAATTGATTTAGTATTTTCTCTACATAATATTTCATAGGAATAGAGTTATAGAAACTGAGGGATAATAGTTCCACCTCATTTCTTTAATCATGATGGTTGATCTGAGAAATGAATAAAAGAGATCTCTTCACCCCATAGGTCTCTATAATGAAAGGTCAGTAAGCGTGAGAATGGATCGGATTGGGGCCAGATCTGACTAGATTCGGATTCGGATCCGAGTAGTATACATCGAATCTGGGTTCAAACCGTATGCTGGATATTCGAATTCAGATTATATATATACTATTTAAAAAATATATAAAATAAAAATTTACTATTTTATAGAAAACAGAGTTGGATTCGGATCTAGATCCGGGTCGAATCCACCTGCACTCGGATCTATTCCGGATTTCAATTCAGATTTGACTTTGGATCCAAATCCGGATTTTAGATCCAAATTTTGGGTCCATACCCGAATTCGAATAGGATTCGAAATCCAAGTTTCGGATCTGGATCAGGTCAATTCTCATCCGTAAAGGTCAAGATTAAATTTCATAATGATGGAAAAACCATAACCCTAAAAACCCTAGTCTTTATGTTTTATACACTAGTTATGGGGGGACTTATTCTCTATACTTTATATCTTACTCTCTCTCTCTCCAAACCTAACGGGTGGCACGCCCCTCTATGATCTCTCTCAATTTCTCTCTCTAAAATTAGCAATTAGAAAAGAAAAGAAATCCTAAGGGGTGGCAGCCCAAGCCACAAAGCCTAACCCATAGGTTTTGGCATTCTGCTCATGTGTTGAGGCTTGGTTTAGTTTATCCCATAGTATTCTTTCTGCTGGTTTTGCCTAGGCTTCTCAAGTTGTGAGACAAGTGCTTGACCTAAATCCCGTACACCATTTGTGGAGGAGACCTAGTGTGGGGTGTACGAAGTCTTTGGAGATAACCTGAGGCAAGGTATGCGGTATTTTCCTGTTTCATGCTTTCATAATTCAATTACATCTTTTATGTAATTTTCAGATCCATATTATAAATTTAATTTTGTTTTTGATGGCAATCAAGTGAGAGTCTTCGGTGTTTTTATTTTACTCATATATTGTATGAGGACACTTGTAAGTGATGCGGGTGGTAATACATAAGAAAAAGAAAATTTAATCGGTATTGACTTGCCCGGTCACATAATCCTTTCATACAGGAATATTGCCCTTGCATAGTTTTACACACAGACGAGCATGTTTAAGACAATGCCCTTCTTAGTCAAACTTCTTGTTCTTCTCGTTCCTTTTCTTTTTTTCTTTTTTGTTTTCTTTTTTTAAGATTCTTGCTTCATCAATATAGTTGGTTTATGTATTTATCTAAAACTTCATTTTTTTTCTTTATTATTTCACACAGTGTCGCAAGGTTAATGTACTTCTAGTTAGAAGAGTATCAACTACATTGATTCAAAAAAAAGAAAGAAAAAGAAGAAATTAAAGAGTATTTATCTGCATTTCTAGTTAGAAGAGTATAAACTACGTTGATTCAAAAAAAAAGAAAAACAGAAATATTAAAGAGTATTTATCTCTCTCTAGACACACCCACACACACACACAAACACACGTAAAAGAAAAATTAAAGAATATCTCTTTCACTATAAAAGAAAGTTTAAAAAGTATTTCTCATTCTCTCATATACATATGGGAAAAGATACTGTCAGGCCATGGGTTGATGGAAGAGTGTAAGCCCAACAACCAAGATTGAATCTGGGCCGATCTGACAGTCACGATTGCATTTCATATTTAAAGTTAATTTTTTCTACAAATTAAAATAATATGAAATTTGGGTGTCCACTTTTCTCATCAAGGCGCACCTAATAAAAATATTAAAAAAATGATTTGCAAAAATAAAATGACAAATACCCTAAAGTTTTGAGGGGTATTTTAGTCTATTTAATTTTTGTTATTTTTTTTATATTTTTATTTGATTATCCTATTTTTTAAGAAAAAAATCTCCACATTTCAAGTGATTTGGATTTGAAAAAAAATATTAAAATTCAAATACAAAATGAAATCGTGACCATTAGATCGGCATATATATATATATATATATATATATATATATATATATATATATACTATATAGTAGAGTACTTAGTAATAAATAGTAGTCGTTAGTATTAGTTAGTTTAGTTTAGTTACGTTTACGTAGGTAACGTTACGTA